AGAAAGGTTTGGTACATTTCATGAATAAGAAAAATAATTCTGATTATTTAATATTTGACCTGTCACTCACCAGTGAGAGCCAATCAATAGAAATACTTGGTGGTGATTTTGGTTTCAGGTCACTTGATTTTTGCATCTGTTTCATAAACACACAATGCGAGTGTAACAGTATCAAATTACAAGAAAGTTAAAGAAAAATGGACCAAGGTACCTACAGGAAAATACATATTAGTTTTCACCTTGAAAACGTATAACAGAACTTACAAATAAGGCTTTTACAATTTGTCATAAAAGCTACCAATTCTGCAAGAGTTTGCGCTTGAATAGCTTTACATTAGAAAACATTCATGTTGTCTATTTTAGACTTGAGTTGAATGTTTTTTTCACTGACGTTAATATCTTGGGAGGGCAGCGTTACAGAACGATATGATCTAAAGTTTGGAGCCTAAGTTCATAAATCTCATAAGAAGAAGTAGATGCAGCACAACTGGTTAATGAGAATCAGATCAATGTCGATGCAATATCAAGAAATAACATGGAGATTTCATGTTTTCTTAAGACAACACTGCCCTGTTGACCACAAACTTGTCCTGGGGCTTCTTACTGAAGTAAAATCAGAAAGCCAGAGAGTTGGGCTTTAAAAGAAAGGCCACTTTGCATGTAGGTGTTACAGTTTCACAAACAAATTACCTTGGCAAACAGCGGTGCAGGCCTGTCTGTTTTGTTTTTCTTTTACATGTGGGACAATTTGTTTTTTTTTAAGCAGATCAAAAACCAGTATCCATGTTAGACGTGCTAAAAATAATGCTTAATTATGCTGCGTCCTATATATTGTCACATGCATGTTTCTGAAAATAGGTTCAGAAACATGCATCGTTTCTGAACCTATTTCAATTAAATAACATTTCATAAAATTTCAGGATATACTCGAGAAAACAGACAAGTTTTCATATTGCAATCATTACACTTCATTCATTACAAGTCACCAAGATTTCCACTCTGTACATGTCATTTGATGTAGTTTGTTTAGTTTTAAAATAATAATAATAATAATAAAAAAAAGATTAGAGGCAAAAACTCATAAAAATGGAGATAATCTTATTTTATCTTCTGTTTAATTTGAACTTCTATCAAATAATTTGAAAGCACATATTTTTTCCATATATGGAAAAAATATATGGAAAAAATATATTTTTTGTCTGTCTGTCTTATGTTATAACTATATGACAGACAAACAAAAAATCCTCTGGAGTACACCGGACCTTAAAGAAAATTGGTATCGGAAGAAAGCCTGATCTATGCTCCTACCTACCAAAAAACAGAAAAAGAGAAAAGTTCACAGCATTCATTATTTTGACGACGAATACATTCAACATGTAAATCTCAATCAAATATTCATGCACAGAAGTGCCTTGTTAAAGACGCAAATGGTCATATTTACTGTCTGGATGATAATAATAATGATAATAATAATAATGTCAGTACTTTTTACAACTCTGATGTAACGTATTGCTCCTCTCTGTCTGAAACGACAATATAAGCCTTTTTTCACAGCAATCAGTCACTTCTACGAATTCACACCTGTAAGATTCAGAGACAAACAGCTGGCAGAAAAGTGAGTGCGTGTAAAACGCAATTCACTTCACGCTCACGCATCGGACGTGGTTAGACTGTAGGGGGGTTAAGGGCTTATGGTCTCATCCTTCTAAAAATAGATAGCAACGCTCGCGTCTTCCAGACCACAGCTAGCATGTTAGCTGTAATACAATCCATCCAGATTCACAGCGAGATTTGGGGTCGGGGGTATCTGTGCTAACAACCAAACTATTAACTATCGTGCCACAAAAAATCGTATTTCAACGTGAAAACGTCAGTTTAGTTGAGGTGCAGCTTGGGCTGGGCCCTCTCTTAAATCCGGCTGGATAAGGATTAGTAACGATACGAAGGGATGGGTTTTTTTTCGGCAGCTGTTGAAATGTTTCCATTCCAAGGCCAATGAGGAGCAGTGTTTAGCTAATGCGGTTTCTTCCTTCTAAACCTATTGCTCTGATGTAGGTAAACGATAAAAGGGTTAGCCTTTAGCACAATACGGGCTATGGTTATTCCATAAGTTTGTGCTATACAATAGTTATCGCAATAACTAACAGCTACCTCGATCCGACTTGTTTTCTAAACCAGTTCCCCCCTCACACAACGCCAAGAAACCTCACAGGAAATGTAATGTTTGTCTTTCCGGCGAGGACAGTGGCAGGTTTTTGCTTAATATAATCTTACCTTTGCGATTCTGACAGGCTTATCAAAACGTCCAGGCTCCCAACGCACAGTGATAAGGAGCCTCTCCTGTAAAGTCTGTTTTCATGGGTAGGCGGTTTGAAGTAGGCGTCATTCCTGGTGCGTTCAAGTCCTGCCGAAATGTGGGATTTGCCATTTCCGATACAGAATTGAGCAAAAAGTGTCATGTCACGCAAATTCAGCGACGTAATTTACTTCTAATATGAATGACATGGGTAGTATAAATTACACACCGCAATATATTTATTTGCTTTTGTTCACTTGAATGCTAATGCATATTTTTGAATCCAGTCGGTGTATTACACGTGGAGGTAATGACGATGGCTCATTTCACCTGGAGCCACCTGCTGGCGCAGGTTTTAAATATTTACACAAACTATTTTAGTTTTAAAAAGTCTTTTCCAGTTTTAGGTTAGGTACGTTGATCAAAATGTTAGCTAATAGACATATTAATAATAACATTTTGTAACTTCTCATTCTTTTTTACATTTCTCAAATTCTCATAAGTATACTTAAACATTTATGTATGTGATAGAATTATCCTTCTAAGTAACTTAATGGCAGAGGCAGTACCTAAAAATTGTACTCAAGAGTTGCACCTCTTCAACACAGATAAAAGTAAAAGAGAAAAGTTAAAAAATTTCTTAAGCAAGAGTAAAAATATTTCATAAAAAATGCTACATACGTACTTAATACTGTAAGTGATCATAACATCTGGTTTAATATCTTAAAATGATGAAATCAGATGGACAAAAATATAAAGTCATGTACAAATTCAGGTATTTTAAAGGCTAAAATAAAAAAAAATAACTGAAATAATTACAAAATAAATTTTAAGTAGAAGAAACACTTTTCCAGATATATATATATATATATATATATATATATATATATATTTTTTTTTTTTCATGTAAAACGTAGGAAACTAATACAAGAGGGAGTGTCGGAACAGGGTAAAGTTCATCCTTTTTAGTTAAAATATGTTTGTTCTTCAATCAGTGGAGATACTCACAGTGATTTGAGTATCCAGAGACTTTACTCAAGTACGTTGACATACTAGAAACAGTCCTAAACAGTTAGCATAAACAAGCACACACTCAGGGCAATTTAGTGTCAACATATTTCCCATGAATGGACTGGGAGACGAAGTCAGAGTACTTGGACAAAACCCAGACATCCACATGAAAAACATGGAAACTCCAGACAGAAAGACTCCAGGCAAGAGGTGACAGCATGACACTGTGCAGGATTTTGTTGGGACAGAAGAGAATAAGTAATGAATAAGAACTCGTCTTAAATATAAATCTATGTTTCAGCAACGTTTTGATAACGAAACAAAAAAATAAAAGCCTCAAACCTTGATCTCCCTAAAGACAGATTGTACAAGAGCAAATATGCGACTGTCCTTTGGCCTTCCTTTTTTCATCCTTCGGAAATTCTAATGTTGATAAAAGTCCAGTCTGGTTGATGCAGGGAGCAAACAGATGTGGCGTGTATATACATAATTCCACATCATAATTAAGTTTGTCAAAACATGACTGGACTGGAACACTATCATGAACAGGTGGACTGTTTCTGTTAACAATATTATCAGCTTTGACTTATAGTAAGCATACACGACTCCTGTGAGGAACACATATTCAATTATTTTTGTATTGTGTTGTCTAGGTAATATGTGACAACCTAGAACCCACACTTAGCAAAACAGAATAATTTAACAATTATAACAGTGTATTTATGCAGAAAAGTACGAATGAGTGATTTACTATTTATTTTTTAGATTGGTCGGGTGGAATGTTGTTTTTGTGTTTGTTTTTTTTAATCAAAAATAATGAGGGAGGGAATATAGTGATATAAAAATTGCAAACTGTTGTATTTCTAAATAAATGACTTTATTAAATGAACACAAGTTATTAATTTTCTTGTAGTCTGAAGCAACATAATAGAAACAATAACAAGCTTCAAATTGTAGTTTCATTTTTCTATACTTTACATATTTGAATCAATATTTTAAATATAAGTAATATATAATAAGCAAAACCATTCGCTAAAGAGAATAACTATTAAAAATATTCATTCATTAATTCACAAAATGAAACTGGTTCTATAGATTAATTACACACAGACTGATGTTTTCAAGAATTCCCTGTTGATTTTGATAATTTTCCACTTACATCTAATGAAAATAAAATATTTAAGATTAGAAATTTTTCATACAGAAATGTGAGCTTAATAAAAATCATTTATGCAATAGTGATGATGCAGAGCTCCTTATGAGACTTCCAAGTTAAATTTGAAATAAAAGTAATATCTCAGCATTAAAGTATATGGTAACCACAAATTATATTGCTGGAGTTTATGATTTATAATAATCTGCGTACTGAATATGTGGAACCAAAAGAACCTAAAATAATTTAAAAAAAGAATGCTGAATGATATATGCCACAAATAAAAAACATCTTGAAACAGACAGCATATTTGCAGCTTGCCCATAACTGAGAATGGAATCGGCAGCTCATAATTGGTGAGGAGTAAAAAGTCAGAACACAGCAAAAGTGAAACCACCGGAACCATTAACAGGCTTTCCAGAGATTAAACTAAAATGCTTCTTGGATAGAGAGCTTCATAAAACATGTTGTTAGTATGTTAGTATGAAACAACATACTAATGCATGTTGTTTCATTTCCCATTTATACAAGTTTCTTTTTAATCTTCAATGTCAATGACCACATAGAGCGAAGCATATTTGCCCAGGTTACTGTTAGGAATCAAAAGTAAACAAACTGGACTGGACTTTGCTCAGTCCATCAAACAGATGCTTGTGTTATCCGAGAGCAGCCTTCAAGTCTAAACAGGTGCATAATGATGTTTTTTCATTTTTACTGCTTTATAATATTTTGCTGTGTTCATCGTCACGTGACACTTAAGGATGAAGAAAGCATACCTCCTATTGCCAAGTATTTCAACACCAAAGGGAGGTATGAAGAAGTGAACCCATACCTCAGACAGGACATACTCGCTGTAAACAGATCTTCTTCGCAGCCTCCGTCCTCGCAGTGTCGGGAAATCCATCTGACGGCCATCATAAGACACGGGACGAGATATCCAACGGCCAAAACCGTCAGGGACATGCAGCAGCTGCACAACATCGTCCTGAATAATTTCACAGAGGAGCAGAGCTGGCTGCGTGAAACCCTGACCCAGTGGACGATGTGGTACACTGAGGACATGGACGGCCGACTGGTCCAGAAAGGTGTGGAGGATCTGAAGCATCTGGCCGTCAGGCTGTCAAAGCTCTTCCCGACGATCATCTCTGAGGAGAAACTTCGAGGTGGACTCATCAAGTTCATAACCAGCTCCAAGCACAGATGTGTGAACAGCACGCTGTCCTTCAAAGCAGGGCTAACAGAGATGTGGGCCATCACAGGTATAAAGATGATAATCGGTCAGCAGTGTTGCTTCTTCACTCTAACCAACTTTCTCAGTATAACCCGAAGCTTTTTGTCCATGCAGATGTGGAGTTTGGCCATGAAGTAAATGACGCTCTCATGAGGTTCTTTGACCATTGCACCAGATTTGTGCAGGAAGTTGATAAAAACTCATCAGCTGTGATAGAGGTGGACAAGTTCAAGCAGGGGCTGGAGATGATGAGGGTCCAGAAGAAAATTGCAGAGCATCTGGGAATCTCATCCAGTTTAATCACATATGGTCGTATCCGCCTTTTCACTTACTTTTATTATAAAATCCACTTTGGCTACCTTACTTTTTTCCACTTAAATTGCAGATTCCTATCACAAAGGAGCAAATGTCTACATGGTTCATTGTGCTCTGTGTGTGTTTTCATCCGTCAGATTTTCACGAGCTCGTTCATGTTAGCTACAGCTGATAGCTCCTAAATTACTATCGCTAACTACAAAATTAAGAAAGAAATGTCAGAGCAAACATTTATCTCAGTGGCAGATCTACGTGGAGCTCTGTTAAACACTCCTGCAAAATACCTAACACATCTTCACTATCTGCATTCTCCAACAAAGGAGGAGTAATTTGGAAAACTGTGCTCAGTGAAACAAAGCAGCTTTTATTCCTTACCTCTTATTTTAAAAGCGGTCTAAAAAGGAAACAATAGTGCACCCAAATTGAATATTTAAACTGTTTAGACATTTTAAAAAGTCTGCTGTTTCTGATGTGTACAAATGCACTAGTGTGTATCTTCCTGTTGTGATCGAGATTTGTTATTGCTACGATGGTTTCAACTTTGCTACAGTGTTCATGTTTGATATTTTTCTTTAAAAGAAAACTACTATTTAATATACAGAACATCAGATGTGGCTGCTTTTTGTCCATTATATTTTAATGTATTGTTCCTAATACGTATGTAATAAACAAATCTTAGTCGGTGTTATGCAAGTATAGATCTTAAGACCATTAGAAATATTGCTCAGTAGTATAGCAATACTAAGTGCATGTGTAAGAACTGTTTCCTGTTTTTTGGTAATTGCTTTATTTTAGATCATTGTTTCTGCAGCCCATGTGACTGACCACCTGTACGTTTCACTTATAGATTTGGCCGAGGCAGCATTTCTCTTGTGCTCTTACGAACTTGCTGTCAAGGCAGTAAACTCTCCCTGGTGTTTACTCTTTGATGAGGATGATGCAAAGGTTGGAGTCTTACTGTTTAGTTGCATTAACTACAGCAATCTAATTTTGCTACAGCTCCTAGAAAGCTTTTCTTGAGTTGATGAAGGGAAATCTTAGGAGAAAAATAGATGGATATTTGATATTTCAAACTCCTGACTTAAGTGAACGGGCGATTAATAGGCTTCTGAATGTATAGCGATACTATACATACAGATAGAGCAATGCTGGTCGAGATCAAAGCATATCAATGTGCTAAAGTGTCCTGGACAAAGTCTGTCATTCAATTGAGAATCTGTGATTTGAAAATTCCATCCAATTTGACTGACCATGAACTATTTTGCAAAGAAGAACAGGTTGAAGTTTCAGTCTACAGCTGTGCAAAACCCAAAAGACTTGCACAGTAATTGCAATGAAAGGTGGTTCTGCAAAGTATTCGCTTTGGTGACCCAATACAAATCGGCACCACACTTTTCAGACCCTTAATTGGAAAACACAATGACATTTCTACCTTTAATGTGCAAGAATGGAAAAAAAAATAATCAAAGAGGTCACACCTTAGAAAACTGATTCATAATTTGAAGAACTCTAGACTTTTTCTTCACATTATTGCTCCATGTGTCTTTTTTTCTGTTTCAACAGGTTATGGAGTATGCAAGTGACCTGAGGGAGTTCTGGAAAAGAGGCTACGGTCATGACATCAACAGCAAGTCAAGCTGCCTCCTCTTTCATGACCTGTTCAGTCGACTGAACAAGGCAGTCAGCGAGAACAAGTGATTAGATAATTCATCACTATGGCCTAGGAGTATAAGCTCTTTTTTTTAGTGGTTACTAGTATTCTCAGGCATTTTTTACCTTTCATGTAATCTAACACTTTCATTGATGCATGTCTATTTCGTGTGCTTCAGGTTACATCAGCAGGTCACTGAAGCGGTGACTGTCCAGATCGGCCACGCAGACACCCTGCTGCCGTTGCTCACCCTGCTCGGCTTTTTTAAGGATGCAGTCCCGCTGACATCGGCCAACTACGCCTCGCAGGCTCAACGCTCTTTCCGCACCAGCCGCATGTTGCCTTACGCTGCCAATTTCCTCCTGGTTTTGTACGACTGTGGAGAGGAAGGCATCAGGCTGCAACCTCTGCTGAACGAGCAGCCTTTGACCTTCCCTGGTCTGACCGATCAGCAGGCCTCCATGCCGCTCTATGAAGATGTCCGAAAGCGCTACAGAGATCTTCTCAGTGGGTGTGACTTTGAGGCCGAATGCCAACTACTCAGAAATCCTGCTGAAGTTTAGTACTGTTTTCATTTTCTTTAAAAAAAAAAAAAAGCAAAGAAAAGAAAAAAAAGATAAACATGTGATAAAATTAACTAGTCTGAGCCAAACTGGGAAGAATGGAGCAACTAATATTAAGGTCATACTTTTTTGTTCTCTCAATACAAAGACGGGTATATTTAATTAGCTGTGAGCTTTTGCTAAAAACTACAATAGTCCATCTCATCTTTAGAATTACCAATCTGAACATCTAATGAAGCACAGAACCTGTATTTTAATGTAAAAATGTTAAGGATTTTTGGAATGATTTAACACATTGTTTTTGAAAGTTTGTAATCTCCTTCAGCTATTAAATAAAGTGTCATAGGGGGCGAAAGAGGGAGAGTACACAGAGGACTAGAAAAAAAAATAACACTAAAGAATAGCTACACTAAAGAAACATCATGACTATAGCAACTAAGAATAACCAGGAACAGAAATAAACATAACCACAAACACTAAGAAGAACTGAACTAAAGTAATACAGAAACAAGACTGATATAAATAAAAGAGGAACAAAGTAACAGAAAAGATCAAAATCCAACTAAACAAAGCCAGATCCTAACATAGATCTTCTTTCAAGCTGATAATGCTAACCAGAAAGCATGTGGTCTGCTTTCTTCTGGATATGGATTATCTTATATCTGTCTGCTTTAAATACTTTAAATGCTTTAAATAAATTAACTCTCTTGAAGTGAAAGTTTTTTTTGTGTGTTTTGTCTTCATGCGGTCTTTAACCAGCCCCCCTCTAGCACAAGAAGGGGATCTCCCAGGGTCTCGCCGAGGCAAGAACCGCCTCTGCATATCACGTCAATTTGATTGGCTGATGAATGCCACATGAATAACGTCACGCATCTGGGGTCTGCGCAAACCAAAGCGAGATCATGACGAGCTTTCTATGCAAAATCCTCTTCTTTACCGCCATAACCGGCTCTTCCTGGTGTTTTCGTAACGACGCGAGTCCAGAGGAAAACCCAAACATACCGGTCATCGCCAAGTATTTCGGCACGAAAGGAAGGTACGAGGAAGTGAACCCGTACCTGATACGGAACATACTCGCTGTAAACAGGTCTAGTTTGCAGCCTCCGTCTCCGCAATGTCGCGAAATCCATCTCACGGCCATCATAAGACACGGGACGCGATACCCGACGACCAAAAACGTGAAGAAGATGCAGAAACTTTACCAGCTGGTCCAGAGCAGCGCTCGCGGGAAAGACTGCTGGTTACACGAGATTCTGACCCAGTGGACGATGTGGTACACTGAGGACATGGACGGCCGACTGGTCCAGAAAGGTGTGGAGGATCTGAAGCATCTGGCCGTCAGGCTGTCAAAGCTCTTCCCGACGATCATCTCCGAGGAGAAACTTCGAGGTGGACTCATCAAGTTCATAACCAGCTCCAAGCACAGATGTGTGAACAGCACGCTGTCCTTCAAAGCAGGGCTGACGGAGATGTGGGCCATCACAGGTATAAAGTTGATAAACTAACTGCAGAATGATTTCTGTACAGGATCAGTGTAACAGATGGCTTACTTTTCTTTTGCAGATATGGAGTTTCAGCATGCAGTGAACGATGCTCTAATGAGGTTCTTTGACAAGTGCACCAAGTTTGTACGGGAAGTTGATAACAACCCGTCAGCTTTGTCAGAGATGGACAAGTTCACACAGGGACCTGAGATGGTGAGGGTCCAGCAGAAGATCGCTGACCGTCTGAATGTCTCATATCATCTCATCACATATGGTCAGTTGTAAGGTTTTAGGCAAACATAAATGAATGTTTAAGTTATTCAACAACCAGAAAGTTTGTTGTCACTGCCTTTCATTTGTAAAATGTTAATTAAGGACACATTTTAAAAACAAAGCTAAAATGAATATGTTTATGGTGGAATTTTTCTGCCACATTCCAAGAGCACACGCGGTCATTCTGAAAGCAGGATTTCACGTCTATCGTTCTCAAAACTTGAAATACTTTTGCTTACATTTTTATTTTGAAAGCAGGAATTCATGTCTGTCTTCTCAAAACTTGTACTGATTGCACTCAAAACTTCTCCTCGCGCTCACACTGAATCTCTGTCAAGTCTTCGCATGCAAAGCTTTCCGCTCGCTTGGTGGAATTTTCCTGCCATAATCCAGGAGCACACATTTTCAGTCTGAAAACAGGATTTCATGTCTTTTGTTCTCGAAGCTTTTAATACTTTTGCTTACATTTTCATTTTGAAAGCAGTTGTATATCATTCTGACATTAAATATCATGTCACTATCTGTGACACATATTTAGCATAATAAGTTATGTTTATCAATTTAACATTTGTTTTGTGACTAAATTTCATAATGTGCAACAGAAGTAATATGGATTGCACCTTAGCTTTTTAGAGCGACACAATATTATAGGCAGGAAAATGACTTTAATACTTAATGTCTTTTGTTATTTAGTGAAAAAACTACAACTATAATTGTGAATGTCTAAATGACTTTAACATTTATATATCCCTATTTTAAATATATTCTAAAGTGCCACACAGTTGCATGTCTGCAATGGAAATTGGACCAGTTTGTCTTCTAAAGTGGCCATTGGTTGTGAATTTTCCCTATGTAAAATGAACTGAATTAAATATAAAATAGCAGTAATCCTCCATTAGGTACCACTTTAATTTCACATTTTACATTGAGAAGGTTGTTAGACAGTGAAGTACAGAATTAATAACAGTAGGTGGTGCTGTTTCCTAATTTAAATTTTCTAACCCTTTATCATCTCTATTACATTTTCTTCAGGAATTCCTTTAAATTGGGATTTTTGTATAAAAATGTGTTTAGAGTCCAAACCAGCAGCATCAATTCCTCTGACCAACCAATCATCCAGGTATCAATATTCTATATTATAATATCATATATGATATTACGTATAAATTATTTTTAATAGTATTTTTACATAAATATGTTGCAGTTTTACTCAAGAGCAGGATTTTTGTTTCCAAACTAAAAAGAGTTCAATAGTTATTTGTTGTTTTTTTTTTTGTTGTTGTTGTTTTTGTTTTGTTTTTTTACTGTTTTGCTGTACTGGTCAAATCAAAGCCAAATCAGTTAGGGTAACCTCTAACCCCTTAACCTCTAAACCTGCAGGAGGAACTGGCAGTAAACATGCCCAAATATGAACTGCTACACGTACATTTTTTTTCATGCGTGTTCGGTTTGTGCCAAATGGAGGAATTGAACTGGATGAAAGGTTATGAATTCGTGTTTACAGCAAATTGATAACTAAACCCCAAGGATGATTGCGGTATTTAAAAACACAACAGAAGGGGGAAGAGAAGGAGGAACAAGGTGAAAAGTGAAAAATAGCACACTGTGTCGAGCCGGATGGTTGCAGAGTAAAATATGGAACATGAAATTTGACAGAAAATGATTCTGAATGGAACAATTTATATTTTTAACACTGAGATACAACATGAAGCATGCAGTGAATCACATATTATTAATATTATTTTCATCTCGCAGATATGGTGGAGGCTGCCTTCTACCTGTGTGCTTATGAGTTTGCCATCAAGACAGCGAACTCCCCGTGGTGCCGCCTCTTCGACGAGATCGATGGACAGGTACGGTCTCGCCTGCATGCCTTCAAACTGCTGGAAATGCAGTTGGAGAGTTTTATACACCGTCAAATAAGATTCAGGTTGCGTGCTGAGCCTCTCTCTGACTCAGAGTATTCAGTTCATCGCCCCGTGCGAGGCAGAGCCCAGGAGTTTCCACCATCGTCTGATTTGGTTCACACTCGTCTTTGTTTTTGTTTTTTTTTTGTTTTTGTTTTTTTTGTCACAACAGAGAAGGATCGCTGAAATTTGCCAACTTAAAAAACATTTTCATTATTACTTTACGTTTTTGGAGTTTTTCGGTTTTTGACATCATGCCGTAAAGACATTTATAAAACATAAAAACAAATAAGCATAGTTATCTGTTGGCATTGTTTGGTTTAACGTGACAACAAGTCATAGCTTGAAAATTACAAATTTATAAAAAAAAAAAAAAAGCTTTTCAAAATCTAAATGTTTTATTTTATCCAGATTACTATATTTTATATCAAAGGTAAACATTTATAGTCATGGATATGTTATAATTTTCCAGCCAAATAGATGTTGGTTGTAAACATTAAACAAATGGCAAAAATTCTCTAAAAGAATAAAACTTATGGACTGATGGGTACAATATGCCTGAATAATTGAAGTACTTTAATGGACACAAATTTTAGTAAAACGATTTTTTGCTGTTATACATTTATTGAAATTCCAAATTATTTTTGTTGCATACCTTTTATTAAAAATTGTTTTTTTCTTTGTAAAGATTTTCAAAAACAAATATTTTGTACCACAAAACTCATCTTCTTAGAAGAACAGAGTAGTCATCTTATACTTTGATCCTCATCTAGAGAGTAGTAGACAAATACAGGATACAGCAGTTATTTGAGAAAAATGCCAACTTTCTTATGTTAGACGACTTAGAAATATGCTGTCAAATTAGGTATGTTTAGTGTGACAGGAGTAGTTATCTCTTCCATGTTTGTTAATAAATGTACATATTCATTTCTTTAGTTTGAAAAATTAACAGAAGGCCTCTAGAAGTTGAACTCTAGTCTGTAACGGCGAGAGATTTCCCACTTATGTAAACCTTGAAATCCAATAGAGATACCTTACAAATAATTCCTAGTATGCATGTTTCCATAGCGACTGAAGGTCCAAACAACATAGTCATTTGTTATTATACCACACATTCGAGTCGCTGTCATATCATTATTTTGACCTAGAGGTAAATGAAACACCGCGCAGCAAGTTGGTAAATGTACCAAACATGTCATTGAATAATTTCTCCAAAGTTGAAGTGTACATTTATCATGAGGAGGGTCTGTGAGAAAAGGATGGATTTGTTTAGGAACAGAGTAGAGAAATTATCCCTGAAACTTTTTATAAGAATTGTAAAAACTAGCAAGCTTTCACTATCGGTACTAGTTCATTCATCTCTGAGCCTGTTATGCAACAATTA